ATTAAAGTAAAAAGAAGTTAAATGGAATAATAGCAAAATAATAATAATAATAATATATTGGAATTACTCCCAAATGTGTTAAGAGAGGCTCAGCAAGCGGTTCTCTTGGATACAGCCAGAATTACGAGAACATTTTTAAATATCTAAAAAAAATAATTATAACTGCAGGTGGTTGGACTTGGTTGGACCCCCACTTTCAGCTTTGAATCCGCAAAAGCAAGAATAAAAAAGATAATACATATATATATATATATATATAGTTTCATTCATTCAGTATATAGTTTCTTTATATATATATATATATATATATATATATATATTTCTTTCTTTATATATATATATATCTAAGTTTATATATAAGTTTATATATATATATATATATATATATATATATATATATATATATATCTAAACTTATATATATATATAAGTTTCTTTATATATATATATACTAATTATAGAATTTATAATATATAAATTCTTTATATATATATATATATATATATATATATATATATATATATATATATATATATAAAGAAACTTAAAGTAACAAATTAAATACAGACATAGTCTCAGAGCTTAGCCTTTCCTGTCTAGTTTGGAGAAACACGAGCAGCACATTTTAACATTTTAATTGATATTTTAACGCTTCTTTAAGCTACTAATTTTACTATTATTAATTAATTTGTTGGTAAAATGTAGTCAAATGATTAATTTTTTTCAGTTGGTTTTCCGCCGGGAATTCGGCGGTATGGTCGCCCAGGTTACCATCAATATACAGTGCCCTATAGACCCTACAGGGTCATGACATGGCCGCACTGCCCGAAAGGTAGAGGGCCTATTTTAAATAATCGGATTACCGAGGTTCTGCATCCCTGCTGTATATATTTACTAAATTTTATAAATAGGTTTATGTGTTTCCATTTTTATACTTCTAAAACGCCCCAGGTGCTCTAAACTAAACCTTTTTCCTAACAGGAGTGTTGACCCTCGAGTTTAAACAGGCTTACTCAGATGTGGGTTATCTTATGTCTACACTATTCCAGGTTTTAGATAAAAGGCGGCGTTTTTATTGACATAATGCCTTTTATGTTGTCGGCATCCCTCCGATCTCATGCTTATCGATAAGCCTCGTAAATCGATTCGCTTTTATAGTTTTTATGGAAGGAAATCTTTGTTGAGGAAATTTAGGTCAATACTAAAATAAACAGTTTTACACCGATCAGTATTATCAGGTAATCGTTTATTATCTCTGACTTCCGCTTAATTATATTAATAGGGAAAATAAAAACTCATCATAGAATTTATATTTTCAGTTTCTCTGTCAAATTCGTTAAAATGTATGATAATTTTTTTTTTTATTTTGTTATTTTAAATTTGCCACTGCGTTGGAACGCATCAAGCAAATGTGTTGGCGTTAATTATATCTTCTTGAATTCCTGATATCTTCTTAACTTTTCAACAGATCTCTAGGCCACTGCCTTTTTAGTCGTCTTTGAGGCTCACCAGGTAACAGGGAGGAAGATAGAACGAGTGGATTTGGATGATTGAGAGTAGAAGTGTGAAATGTTGTGTATTTGTTGTGTATGTAGGATTTTACTTTTGGTATGTTCATGTCTTTGTGTATGGTGAGATTTGAAATAAACCAAGGAGCATTGACAATTTTACGGAGTATTTTGGATTGTGTGGTTTGAATTTTGTTGATGTGTGTGTGTTTTGCGGAACCCCAAAGTTCTGCTCCGTATGTCCAAATAGGTCTTAGTATAGTGGTGTAGATTAGTCGCTTGTTTAGTAAGTTGAGTGGAGATCTATAGTCTAAAAGATGTGACAGTTGTTTGTATCGTCTGGTCAGTTCTTGTTTTTTTAATTTAGTGTGAATGTTCCAGGTGAGTTTTTTGTCCAAGTATAGTCCGAGATATCGTACATGTGTTTTTTGAGGGAACTGGTTTATTGTCTATTGTCACAGCAGGACACGAGATTTTCCTCAGGGAGAAGCTAACATGAGTTGACTTGCTGGAATTGATGTTAATTCCCCATTTATGAAACCATTTTTCAAGGACGTGCAGGTGATTTTGAAGGGCTATTGAAGCGATAGTGGGTAAGTATTGCCGTATCGTCAGCAAAGCTATAGAGAATGGTGCTAGGGTGCTCAGGGATATCAGATGTGTAGATAGAAAATAGAAGAGGGCTTAAAACACTACCTTGTGGTACGCCTGCAAGTTGAGGAAAGAAGGGAGAAGTAGAGGAATCAATAGTAATACAGAAGAACCTGTCAAGAAAGAAAGATTGAAGAATCAGAAAGTAAATTGAAGGAAGGTGTGGTTTTATTTTCCACAGTAAACCTTTGTGCCAGACGCTATCAAACGCTTTCTCGATATCCAGGAATATCGCTGAGCAGAATTCTTTTTTTTCGAAGGCGACTGAGATAGCGTCTACTATACGATGACACTGTTGTACAGTGGAATGGTAAGAACGAAAGCCAAATTGATGATTCGGAATAACTTCCCGACTTTCTATTATTGGCTTTATATTGGCTATATTTTATTTTTTGGTATGAATTTAAATTTTCCGGGATAGATATTTATTACATAACACGCAAGATTACGAATACTCTTAAATATTTTTCGCGTGCTCCTTGCCTGGTATTATCCGCCCCAAACGGAAGCCGTAATGTTGTGGCAGCATTGCTAAGGCTGCGGCGGACTCGTGCTGGCGGTCCTAGCAGCTAAGCAGCTTAATGTAGTGCCTTCCAAATGGCAGCTGTCCTGTCAACAGGTAACAGGTGCTCTTCCTCCGGGATAAAAAGTTTGTACGGGAAGGCTCGCACCTTTCAACTTCATTAAGGAATACTTACAACCACCATACAGCTGTATCAGGAGAAGAACATATCGTCATGTCTTCGAATTGTCTTGGTAACTAGAGTACACAATGCATAGTAGGAAAATGAATAACAAATCTATTCCCATGATGAAATTAGTATCTGGACAAGAAAACCAAATGGTACTGAGAATACATTTTATTTTGTTTAATAATCTCTGATTTCCTAAAAAAAAATAAAATAAACAGATAAGACGAATATTAGTCAGAAATAACTATATTATAACAAAAGTTTAATTTATTCAATCCATTTTATGATAAGGGACTCTTTTTACTTTCACGTAAGTATATATGTAATGTATAGCAAGTGTAAGTATTGCGATCAAGAAAATTTTTGAATCTGAGTTTTCAACGGAAATACACTTTTTGATGTACCCTGAGTCGAAATGACCAAGTCCCGAAAAATGGCTATGTGCCTGTGTGTTTGTATGTTAGCAGTCTAGCTCAAAAACGAAAAGTCGTACGAAACTGATATTTCGTATTTAAGATAGAAATATGTGGTTAATCGGAAGTGCCAGTTTATATCAACGCTGAAACACATTTTTGTAATTTTCTCAAAAGCGGCTCTAACGATTTTGATTAAACTCGGTGTATCATTGTATAATGAAATAATCTTTAATATCAATTAGGTCTTATCCTCATTGTTGTCACTTTACAGGGCTTGAATGCCCAATGTTTATATACGTCTTCCTGTAAAGTACCTTTAATATGGTTTATTTTAAACAGTTAATCATTTCACATTATTCAAAGTTACTAAAAAATGCTAAATATAACTTTTGAAAGAATTCGATAAGTTAATAAAAGAGAAAAAAATAAAAATGCAGAAAAACCTGCGTTGCTATAGACTGTAGCGCCTAAACGAATTTACCTCCTTCAATGAAACTTCGCCATTTTCTCGACACCCTTTAAATTTATCTATATAACATACTTCAACGAAAAGAAGCTGGACAAAAAGTTACGAAGGATGGTAAAATTAAATTCCGAATAGCTCAAAAAGTATACACTTTTTGTCGATATTGTGATAAGATGTGTCAAAGGTATTTAAATTTCCTAAAAAATGAAAGAAGTTTCATCGAAATCTAAGCACTATTAGTTGAGATATCGCAATTTTTTTAATAAATTGAGAGATAAAAAATAGAAAAAAAGATTTTCTGCTTTTATATATTGCTTTCATATTTCTTTTTGCTACCATAATGAATTTACTGGAAGCCTACCAATAAATGGAATTGATTTGAATTAAATGGTGCAAAAGAAAAGAAAAAAACAAGAATAAAAATTCTATTTCCGAAATTCCTTCCTTTTTTTGGTCCTACTCCGTTTTGCTTTACAATTATTGTTATTATTAATTTTTTAATTCTAATGTCAAATTCTTCTTAAATAATTCCATACAATAACTGATGGATGTTTACTCAACGGGTGCTGGTTTGAGGTACTGGATGAAAAAATGTTTCAAACATAGTTTCTCCTTATCTCTGTTGTTTTTTTTGTTTTTTTTTAGTATTTCTTTGATTGTTTGAAAATATATTTATTTTCATTTAGGCTATAACTTGTCAATTTAAAAATTATTGCCCTTATTTTTAACATTTAATTTAAAAATGATTAAAATATTAATTTAACTTATTTCATTTCTTAATCTTATCGGATATTAGTATACATATATAATATATCTAATAATTAATAGTTGACGTGAACCTTCTTTCTTAGTGAAACTCCTAGCTGAACACACCTCCCTGAAGAAGACATGCAAAGTCGGATCGAAACGTTGGCCTTTAGTAAAATAGTTTTGCCACTATTCAGCCTATGTCCGCCACCCCAGAACATCTCCTTCCTTTATAATATATTTAAGTTTGAATTTGGTTTCATGCCTCTAAGTTTCTTTGAAAAAAGTACAGTAGGTACAGTGAAATGCTAAATCATTATGTTTACCCCAAATAAAAAAAGAACATAAATAGACGTTTCAACAAAAAGTAAAATGTTCGTTTTAAAAATTATTTTTCATAAATTAATTGGAGGAATATCACAGAGTTGCAAAAATTTTTAAAATGGCGACCATATTCTTCTTATTTTTTCCGACTTAACAAGATTTAAAAAATTATAATAATTTTTTTGCAGTCCTAAAATTATATGATTAAATCCTGTCTCTTTTTGTGGACGGGGGCATCCCCTAATTCACTTTCTTCTTCCGTTTTAACCTCTTTCATTCTTCGCCTATTCCTGAATCGCTTTCTTCTTTCGGCAGTGAGCAAGACTCTGCTCTGTTTGAAATGGAAGATTTCACGGTGAGTAAATGGAAAAAAAAATATGGCGTGAAGATAACGGGCCTCACCGCAGGCCGCTCGTGGGAACACGGCTCCCGCCTGTTCCTCTGGTAAATTTTCTGATATGGCGTTGTCCAAGGATCTTTGCTAGTAGTGCAACATGTCTTATAAGGGCGGTTCTAGTCTCCTTTAAGGTTCCTATATGGTTAACTTGTTATGAAGTTATGAATGTTTTTTTTTTTATATTCCCATAAAGAAGGCAACAGAATGACTGAGAAAACTGTATTTATTATCTTTATCCTATATATATATATATATATATATATATATATATATATATCATTTATTAATGATGAATTTACAACTGTATTAAAGAAATACATCTACTACTAGTACATTTGTACAAATGGGTATAATGACTTGAAAGCGCTTGTTGAGAAACTACTCACTGGTAGAACTCTGATAATATGTCTACATTAGATCATGAGGCCCTCTTATTTTCAGACGTCTCGAAGGGTTATCAGGAATTGAAGAGGAAGCAAGGTTAGAAACGAGAGGATTGGGATGGTTCTGAAGTTTATTATGGAAGGAAAAGTATTTATTTTGATTAGGCCAAATCTGAAACATAATGAATATTAAGATTATGATCATGCCAAGGGAATGATTTTATTTGTAACAAAGTAAGGAGCATTGAGGATTTTGGATTGTAAGGATTCGATAAGACGGACTTTGATCGTTTGAGCCCCATAGCTCAACTCGGTAAGTCCAAATAGGCCTTGTTATAGTCATGTATATGAGTCTTTTGTAAGTTGATTGGAAGTTTAGAACATGTCTAGTAAGCGCTGAAGTAATCGGAAATGTCGGGCGGTTTCTTGTCGTTTTAGTCTGGTATATGGATTCCAAGTTAGACGTTTGTCCAAGTGCAGTCCTATGATCTTTATATATAATTTATCTTTTGGTAGTGCGCCATGTTAATTCCTAATCAAATCCAATAATTGAGTCGTCATTTTAAAAAATGTCTTCTCCTTCAGTTAGAAAAATTAAAACCACTACATATTAGGATAGTCTTTTCTGTAAAACATATAACATCCAGACATATTACGTAAGTTTGATTGTTGAAGCCATCTCTTTTTTTGCTTTTAAACATATATATTCTTTCTACTTTTGGGTTATGATTTTATCATAATTTCTTTTTAAAAACACTAAAAAATAATTATGAGTGCGTTGTCTGGTTATTATAGCTCGTTGTAAAACCACATATGCTTGTTCCATCACATTTATTTATTTATACTGGCATGCAATCGTTTGAAAAACAGAGGTTTGGTCCTCCATAATCTAGTATTAAATATATAAAGACTTCTTTATATAAAGAAATTTGAAAAGCGACAAAATTCATTAAATGTAGTAGCTTTAAGTTTTCTCCTTCTATAAATTGACTGACTAATAAATATAATAAATATGTCCTTAACATTTAATATAGTTTGAGTAGAACTAATAATTATTAATTTTCTTATTATTTATTAATTATTTATATCATTTAATTTCGTTTTTTTAAATTGTAGTTCTCTTTAATAATATAAATATATCTTTTGTATACTGACCAATCACTTTTCAATTCTAGAAAGTTGTTTGATTCCGTTTCTGGTATATGTTCAGTAATCGGCTATAAGTAACGTTCCTATGAAACGATTACATGTGTGCATGTATCAAGTCTGTACCTAAGTAAGGTTCCAAAGAAACGATTACAAGTTCCGTACAACGCCGATGCTCCATTGAAATTACCTGTTCGTGACCCGTGACTGGTCATTAAGCTGTCACGAGGGACGTTACTCTTAACCGCTCCTCTCTCTTATCGCCCTAAAATCCTCTATTACAATCTTGAATAATCTATAATTAAAAGTTCTCTTTTTTTAAAAAACATTTTTCTGCTTTTATTCATATATGTTTTTTCTTTGTTTCAGGTGAGTTTTCAATGAAAATATTATAAGCTTGCAAAAAGGGTAAGATCTTTTTGACATTCATGTTAATAATTAAGAAACTGAGCATAATTTTTTTTAATTTGTGTTATTTATTAGAAGTAATTCATCCTGGAATTATAAATATGATGAAAAAAAAACTTTATGATTTTAATTGTATGGTAGTAGAAAAACAGAAATTATTCATAACTCAAAATATTACAATCAAAATCTTGTACATAATTTTATATATATTATTTTTTTTGTTAATTTTGACAATTTCTATTATGGTTACCTAGTTTCAAACTGCGATATTAATATATGTATATTTCTTTTGAATTATTTAACTTGAGAATATTTTATTAGTAGTTCGAACGAAAATTAATGTGGAATCTAATAAACTCAAAGTCAAGAATATTTTACTGGGCTCATTTTATATTTAAACGCTGGGTATTTAATTGAGTCGTTTGTTCATTTTTATTACTTAATCATTAAAAATAATCATGCCATTAACCATTTTTATGTACACATAAACTTTCGTCCAATTTAATAAAAGTTCCTCCAAAGGGATTAATAACTAAAATTATAAGAAAATTAACTAGAAAAAAACAAACATTAATTATAAGCATACGTGATAAGTTTTGAATTATTTAATTTTGCAATGCATGTTGACAGTTACATACATGCAACAACCTTTAAAATGACCTACTTTTGCTAGATTACATTATGGCTTTGAGATGCTAAAAGCATTAATTTTAATTGCAAACCAAGCATGTAATAGGAAAAATATAATATATTCTCATTTATTTAAAAAAACATGCTTTTTTTATACTCTCTAGAAAACAAATTTTAATTACCCAAATGCAATGGTCGTATTACATTAATAATATAAAATATGAAGGCATTTTCTCTTTTAATTTTTGTTCCTTCGGACCAGTCTATACTTGTATATATTTTAATTATTATTTGACGTATCCATATAAATAGAATTAAATTAGAGTAGCACCATATACATGTATTTGATGACGATTAAATTTACTGAAACATATAACCTTTTTCTCTGTTCAAATTTACACCCATAACTTCAAAATTCATTCATTATCTACAATAAGCAAATTACACGTCGTTAACGTTAACCTAAAAATGAAATGTCGGAATCAGAGACGAATATTTTACTTTGATTTACTTATTTCATCAAGACCCGTATACATGTTGTTAATTCGTAATTCGTTGTTTGGACATTAATAAGCAACCATGAAGTTTCTCTATTTTTTTTTTTATTTCTTTATGACATTTACAACTGTATTACATAAATACATTAAGTAAATTTGGACATAATTGATATAATGACATGAATACACTTGCTGAGTAACTACCCAATGGTAGCACTCTATAAAATTAAAGGTAAAAGAAATATTTTTTACATCACGAAAACATCAATATTTATAATTACTGAAAGTATAACTTGACTCACTTATATTTACATAGTAAATTTTAGCTCTAGTTTGTTTATTTGTAAATTTAATTTTATATTAATTAATTGCTAAATCCCGCAAGAGGTAACTGTTGTATGCAGTTACTGGAAGAGTAGCGCCCCCACGGGTTACCACAGTTCAGTACTACACCATGCACACTAACCAGAACAGTACACTAATCACCTATACTCAACATAAGGTCAGCTACAGTACACACCCTATGGCGAGTGTAGCTTACTTACCTACTGTACAGTACTTCCCTAGGAGATTTTTTCTATCAGGAAGGGTACGTACGGTTACCCTAAGGGACAGCCCCTCGACCGAACTAAGATTGGACAGGCCGATATCCCTACCTTCCGAAATCTAGAATATCACAAGTGATTCCTCACACTGCTTAATGCGGTTCAAGAGGATGGATTATGATGATGGCGATGCTAAGGGTTGTGGATGTGGGTGATCTCGTTTTATTGTAATTTATAATTAGAACGAAAACTCGAAATAGAGGCAAAAATTATTGTTTAAATTTTATTAAAAGATTACAAAGCTAAGCGTATATTACCTTTGATACCAATTAATAAGCAATTAGATGACGTTTCGGCAATACAGTCATCATATCGTTGTTGTCAAATAAATTCAGACTGAAAATACCTTATTTCACAACGAAAGTAAAAAAAAAAAAAATAATAACTATTCTTTATTTGGGAAGGCTTTTTTAGACTGTCAAATAATGATGACTGTACTGTTGATGTTTAAGGTCGCAAAACGTTGGCTATCCTGATTTAACGATTATTTTAAAACGTGTATTTTACTTGTGTAAATAAATATTCTAGAACATAATTCCTATTATATTATTATAAATCGGCCACTATCGAAGAGGACAGCTGCGTGCTGACCACATCCACCGGACACCGGACGTGGCTAAGCGGAATCAGCGGGTTGTTTCCTGAAGCGAAAAGAGTGCGTGGATTGCCACCAGCAGGTACATTGTCCCCCAGCTGTCCGCGTGGAATATCATGTAATCTGTTCCACCGTGCCCGCCTATCAACTGCTCGGCGTTCTTATCCGGTGGCTAATCATTGGCTGAACATTGTCATTTCAGAGATGATCATCAGTTTGCTATAGTTCGTCCCGACAAAAGTGGATATAAACTTTGAAAGCATCGGGAATATATTTTCTGAATATAGAGTAGGATGGGACATGCAGATCCATATCACACTGGCAGGTGCCCCTAGGGGCGAGCAAATATCGATGAGAGGACAACCCTAAACCTGATGGGGTGTGGCTAATTGTGGGGTGCTCCACCCTTTTGCAATGTCGTCATCGATGCCTTTTGGTTCTGTAGTGAATATTATGTTAGAGTCATCCCTTCACTGCTACGTCCTCATCTTTTTCACTAAGGCCAGGTTTTATTTTTGATTAGCTCTTAAAACTTAATTAGGTTTCCGTTTGGTATCAGGTCCGGTAACCATTTGAACCATTGCTGTATTCACAATCCAATTGTTGCGTATGAATGCCACACGATATCATGCATCGCTTTATAAACTCTCAATTGAATATTGAAAAATCTTGTGAACCTTGTGGTCAGTAAACTAAGTTTTTGTTATAACTGAAAAAACTTGTTAATGTTTTATTATTGTAAATAACCTCCTCTACACTGATCTACGGTAGAAGAATAATTGATTAAGAAGAAATAAAATTAAAAACCAGTTCCTGTACTGCCTATAGATGACTTAGTGGGTAAGTCTGATAGTGTTTACTGATTCCGAGTACTTTGTGTTGGGATGAACACCAACTTCTTTGTTGTTAAATTGAAGATGCTTTAATCAAACTATGATTTTGTTGCCGGTTTTTATTCCTTCATGTCAGAGATACCCATTTCCCTCGAGATATAAATGACGCAATCTCTATTTTCCCGTAATTTTTTTTCCTCTTTTTAAAAACAAAAAAAAAGGAAAATACTTTCTGTCTGATCCATGTCTCTTCGCTTCTTCCTTGGTTTGAAAGTTCCTTCAAATTGAAACTCCATAAAAATATGGTTTCCATAAAAAATTCCTTATACCATAAAAATTTACTCCCCCAAAAAAGCTCATAAAAATGTGCGCCTCCTCCCTCAAAAATGTTGGTAGCATGACTTCATACAACCCCCTTCTGGCTACTCCTGCTACACGTGATAAATCCAATGATTTTTCAATAAATGTGCAAGCAAAGGTACGAACATTCGTCGCTCAGATTAAGAAAAGATGGCTCTATTCTCTTTATTCTCCTATATACTTATGGAGATAAACATGTTTATCCCCATAAGCATATCCGTTGGAACAAAACCATGCTTCAATACAGAGGTGCCGTCGATCCCCCAAGGTCAATAGCGCGTCTCTTCCCTTCCAACATATTTTAATACTCTCTCCTTTTAAAAACAGTGCTAGCGAAAGTATAATTAGTAAATATTAGATTATATCTACTTTCTGCCATCTGTCCTATTTTTCCCCGTCCCTTTTCGTTTGAATCTTTTATTTTCAGAAATTCATAAACCTGTCGAAATCTGCCCTTCTCAAAAATTAATGAACCCATCAAAATGTGCCCCCCTCAGACATTTTGATGAAACTCCCTTTTGAGTACCCCTGCTTCGATACATAGCTCCTATGTTCCATTGACCGTTGGACCTGTAGCAAACCCTGCTCACTTCGGAAGCCACCGACAGCGGGACTCCTTCGACTGTTGGCACTCCGCGACGAAAGGGAAACGGTAACGGAGCGCGGCGGACGTGAAAGCAGCCCGGCGGGAACAGAGGACCCGGGCTACGTGACATCCTTATTGATCCCATCTGACACGCTACCTTTCTTCCTTTTGTTCTTCACCTCCTTATGATCCGCTCTTTGTTCTCTCTCTTTTGTCTATGTCCTTTCAAATGCCGCTCGTCTTAAACAACTTACCACGGGGGCATGTCTCTTAGCCTTGACCTTGTCTTATGAATTCTTTTTACTTTCCTTGCTAGTAGCTTATTTATTTTGCTTTAGGAATCATATGTTGTATACCAAAATCTTACCAATGGAAAATGTTGACATTTTTCTTTTTCTCCTATGGGAATTTTTGGTTCTGCTCTTATCTTAAATTGTTCATTCTTAATACAATGGAACTAATTTAGTTTAAACATTAAATATTGTAAAAAAAAAAAAATACACATCATTGATTTTGATCATACACTTGATTTTCTTTTCTATGGATAGATTATTAAAATTATGAGGATGACACATAACCAGGAATAGTTCTGAAGTTTATATATGGTTTATAAGACTTGCCGACGTTTGGACCCAAGCATGTGGGAGTGGGACATCATCAGGGCAATGGTCATTTGCTAGTACTACAAGAGCTGTTAGAAC